AAGGTATTTAAGAATTTTTAAAAGCATTTTCTTACCTAATGAAACTGATGCCAGTAGTACAGTGAAACATAATGAACAGTAAAGATTCACATGAGAAATTAGTGAACCAGTACCTGGAGTTTGGGTTTTCCCTTTTTTTTTTTTAGTAGTCTATAGCAGTTGGCATCCCTAAGAAAAAATAATTTTCCATAATTCAAACTTGCGTTTTTTTGAAAGATAAGCAGCCAGCACTAAGTCTTTCCTCATCTATCCATACAACTTTCAGCAAACCCCTTATCCTATCAGGTAGAAAACAAAGTTGCAAAAGAGCATTTCACCCTTGTACCCCAGATAACAAAGACCAGCAACACCTCTCTAGAGCACAAAGTCAGGAATCATTCACAGCCAGTGAGAGTCCTGTTCATGATCCCAACCCTGTGTCCAGGTCCTTCTTGGTTATAAATTCCTGGGGTTTAACATTGGCGATAAACGCTCCTTAAAGCCTATAAGCAGGTGAATATAGGAAACAATTTCCTTCTCCAGGGCAATCTGGGCTTCAAAATCATGTTGGATTTTTTTTCCCCATGCAATTTCTGCAGGTTCCTTCACAAGCCTGGTGAGAAATCTTGGACTTTGCTGAGAACCTGCCCTCCAAAAGGAACAGCAGCTCCATCACCCATGCTTATCCCATCTTGGTAGTTTACAGCATAGATTAACTTCATGGGCATTTTCAAACAGCTCAGAGCAAGGAGATGCACAGAAGACAGGCCATAACCCCAGACAAGGCTGCCAAATGAACATGGGAAGGTTGGTCCAAAAAACGAAGGAGTCCTTGTGATGAGAAGCTGCCATCAGCACAACATTTTCCCATTCTTTTTATGAATCCTGCTAGGATTCCCAGCATCCTCAGTCAGCAGAAGCAAATCCTTACAGCCTGAGGCAAAGCCATTTGTCTCATGACACCCAAAGGGTGCTGCAACTGCCCTGAGTAGCTCCACCCTGTCACTCTTCACATGGAGGAACCACCCTTAGACATGGAAAACCAATTTCTAGAGAGGCCCAGTGCAAGAGAGGTGGGAGATGGCACAGATTGAAACCAGGACACTGAAGGAATTAACAAATAATTGTCATTCAATATAGGAAATCTGGATGCAAAGACTTCATTGCAGCTGTTGTGACAAGAACTGACCAAATTAACTTGGAAGTTGCTGCTTGGTGTGGTTTCTACTCTGGACTCAATGGGATTTTCAATGGCAACAGCAGTTGGCTGAAAACAGCCAATACAAGTTCCTTTCCCTTGACTATAACAGAAAAAGTCTCTTGACAGGATGGCTACACTTCCTTATGGACTCCACAGGCTCCCTACTTTTTGCACCACACCATCAGAGCAAAAACTGTGGGAAAAGTGAGGCAGCAAGAGGAAGGGCAAGAGAAATTAGAGATAAAGGCAGGACAAAGAAAGAAAGAATGAACTTCTTAGATTACCACATGATCAGCTGAGGTCAGAGTTAAGATAGGTAATTGCTATTGAGAAAATAAACAGCCAGGCTCATTTTTCTGATATGGAAGAGATAAGTTTGTGCTTGTTTTTGCATGATGAGTAGCAAAGGGCACCTGGACCTCTCTCAGCTCTGAAGGGTGCAGTGCTTGTTTCCAGCTCCCGTTTTATGTGCAATTGAGGAACTGAGGATGCCAAATGTGAGATAGTCAGGTGCCTGCTTGGAGGAAAGCCTTCCCCATTGCAATAGCAAAGAGCATCAAGGCTTGGGTGAGCCAGGGCTGCAGGTTTGTTTTCCTCTCAGAAGGGATAAACCTTGCGTGGGTTATACCAAGGAGCCTCTTGGAGCTGGCAGGGAGTGATGGAGCAGCTCTGCAGGCTTTGGGCCCCTCACCCTGCCATTGCTTTAGCTCCAAGAGGAGCTAAAACTTTCTCATACGTTCACCTGTGAGTGGGACTGGCTGCGATGTGTGGATTATTTCCTCAGCGGCACTAAGGAAAGACAGCAGCAAACAGAAACCTCAGCAGCACTAAAACTACAGCAAAAGTGTAGGTTTTATCCTGGAAGTGTTGGGTTCACCCACTGGATTTGCTTCCCAGCTATGAGGTGAGATTGCTGACCCTCTCAGGCTCTGGGTCCTGGAAGCAGGAAAAGGTTGCTCAACCCAGTGAGTGTGGGGATGATGCCCAGAGAAGCTGTGCATCCCTGGCAGTGTCCAAGGCCAGGCTGGACAGGGCTTGGAGCGAGCTGGGCTAGGGGAAGGTGTCCCTGCCCATGACAGGGAGTGGAATGGGAAGAGCTTTAAAATTCATTCCAACCCAAAGCAGCCTGTGATTCTATGCAATTTGATTCCCCTGGTTCCTGGATGATGGATCAGGCTTATCCAGGGAGGAGTCCTTGTGTAACTGAACCCAGACCCCTTTTTCTGGTGCTAAGCAGCATCTGGGAAATGCAGGTTGGTGACTGATGACAGGAACCTGCCTGATTCTCCCTCAGGTTTTTTGATTTTTTTTTTTTTTGAACACTGTGCAGATACACTAGCTTTAGAGGAAAAACAACCCATACAAGCAAATATATAAGTCGGAAAGGAATAGAAATTTTTGTGAGAGCAAGAAGCAAATCATAGAACACAGATCATTTCCAGGGCAGCTCTTTCTGAAGCCATTAATAGCAACCTTGGGAAAATGGAGAGGGTTTTAAAGCAGGATCTGTGCTCTAAAGCCCTGTGCCAGTGAGAAAAAGGTGTTTATTCAGCTACACATTGTCCTTACTTGACTAGATACCTACTTAAACCTGGGGTTAATTTAATGTTTTCAGTTGACCAGTTGTTTAAGTACTGGGAGGTTTAGGTGAAAAAAAAAAACAAAAAAGAGAGACCTTTGAGAAGTGGCTGTAGCTTAAATTCCTACGATTTGGTTTAATCAAATCGTCCCAACATATCAAATCATAGTACCTTTGTTTTTCTGAGCTGGCCAGAAAAGCAGCTTTGCACTAACTTTGGCTAATGATGAGATTGTCACCAGAGTGTCTCAGGGCTCACAGTTTGAGTTGATTTGCAAAGTCACCATGCCAGCTTTCAGGTACTTCTTAGAGCCAAGATATTGGCCCTGATTGCTGCAAGCCTTGTGTTAAACTTCCAGACACTTGAGGAGTTGGAAACTTGGGATTTCTCTGCCTGTTAATGAAGGTTTAATTGCTGCTGAGACATATCCCCACACAAAGTGCAGGCCAAGAGGAAATCAGCCTGCGGCAGCTTACACAAGATGTAAAGGCAGTCTGTGGTCCCCCAGGCCCAGCCCTAAGGTCTCATGTTCTCCCACAAGCTCTGTGATGATCCTTACACAATTTAGGATTGGATTCCCAGCTGGATAAGGTAAGTAGGGCCAGCTCTGCACAAGCCTGAGCTCCTTCCGTTCAGAGCAGCTCCTCCATGGGATCACATTCAGATCCAGCAGAGAGGAGCTCTTACCTGGAATGAGACCACCGTGCCCCATTGCCCTGCCTGAGGAAAACGATGGAAGTGGTGTATGAAAAAGGCCTGTGGATTCCTTGTCTGAGGAAGAATTTGCAATTTGAATCGTTGCTTCTCTCTCCCTCTCCCAGTAGTCCTTTTTCTTTTCTTACCTGTTGAGCAATGGGTTCAATAGACTTTGAGGAACTATTCATTCTTCTCATAGGATTATGTTTCTGAGCAGCAATGACCAACCCAGGGCTTTAACACTGTGTGTGAACAGGCAGATTCCATTACTCCCTGTGACTCACTTTACTTTGGTTTACACTCACCTGCTGGGCATTATTCAAAGGGAAATAGGAGAAATTCCTCTGCAGTCTGTAGATAATGTAGCTCGAAAAGAGACTAAAAGGATAATTACAGAAGATTTTTCCAGGTGTGGAAATTTTGTTTTTTACCTAACAGGAATGTGAAGACAGGAGCTGGCAGGGATAAAATGAGGGCAGGATGTCTCTACCCTTGTAGCAAAGTGATGAACTCTTTGCACATCTGAGACCTTCAGGATATAAAAGTAAAGACTTCTATTGTGAAACCAGCAAGAATTTCCCCCTTAAATCTCAAACTGCTGTCACTCTTGTCAGCCTAAACCAGATATAATGCCTTAGAATTACTTTTTCCTAATATCCTAGTTAGTATTATTATCCTTTGCCTTGTTTATCAAGTTTAGAGGGCTCTCCATCAGCCTGTCAAAGACCATCAAAGAAATATAAAAGAGGAAAGAAAAATCACACCCCTCCAGCTCACAGACATTGTGCAGAGATATTGCACTACCAGCATTCAGAAGTGAGGGAGCAATTTCCTGGGAAAGAGATTTGTGTCCTACTTTGTGCCGGGAAAGAAATGTCCACTGTTAACATTTCACAGATTCCATGCTGACTATCACAATATATTTAGAGTTCCCGATTAGCTTTAAGACCCTGCAGAACAATTCTAGCAAAAGCAAATATTAAGGTATGGAAACTTACCTGACTACTGCATTCATGAGTCTTTCATCCAATCCATGACTGTAAGATTATTGCTTGCCATTTCAACGTGACATTTATATTTCACCCCCACAAACAGGAGTAACCTAACACAGACAGCCAGTTTGGAAATGATTTGCCATGAAAATACAACTAAGGTGAATCAATTGATACTGCTGAGGCTGGAGTTAAAAGAAAAATATGACTCTTGGATTTTTGATCAGACAACAGAAACAGATGTCAGATGCCATTCAAATGAAATCAAAACTGGATCTCGTTGGTGGTTAAGACACATTCACTGAGGACAGTAATTTCCATCTGGCTGAAGAAATCCCCTTTTGTTTGGTTGGTCGCAAAACCCTCACCAACATAAGTAAGTCCCTATCAAGGTTATTTGATTTCAGCCTGTGACAAACAATTACCCAAACCTGGATGAATTAAATCATTACCAGAAAATTTAAAAAATAACAAACAATAGCGATAAAATTGCTGGAGCAACAGAATGACTTTTCATTGGGACATGTACAATTTTAGGCAAAGGAACGTTACCTTAGGCAGTGGTTTCTTCTTCGCACAGTTGATCCCCCCCACAAAGACCATGTTGGGCATCACTGGCCTGACGTAGTCGAACACAAAGTCAAACCTCAGGATCCAAATGGCAGCAGAGTTCACCAGGTCCATCAGGGATACATCTCTCTGAAGAACTTCAGAGGAAAGCTTAAGCGCTTCTGCATACATCCTGTTGCAGTAATCAAGCTCCAGGAGGGAAATCAGGGCATTTTCCACCCTCTGGAAAAAAGTCATGCGGTCCGAGTTGAAGCTGAAGAGTCTCGGGACGTAGGACACAGGGCTTGGGCTCTGTGGGGCTGAAAAGTGCAGGTTGCAAGGGAATCCCCTCATGAAGAAGACAAAGGGAAGAGAAAGATGGTGAGCCAGGATGGCCCCACACATGAAGGCCGGATCCGTCAGGACGGCATCAAAGCCGCTTTGGTTGAGGAACCTCAGAATCTCCTGCCTGTGGAACAGGTCCTTGCACTGCCCAAAGAAGGTGCTGAAAACATGCACTGAGGCGTTGTACATGGCCAGGGCATTGAGGGGGAAAGGCTTCTGCATCAGGTGCACGGCAAGGTATTCCTGGAAGGAGTTATCCAGCTCTTCCAGGCTCTGGCTCACCGGGTACGTGACCACCTTGTAGGCCTGCGTGGTCTCCATCTGCCAGCTCACCTCAGGAACCAGCACCACCACCTCGTGTCCTTTCTCACTCAGCTTCTCCACCACTTCCTGCATGCTCAGCCAGTGGCTTCCCACC